GTGTGTGTGTGTGTGTGAGTAGCCACCGTTGGGAACGAGTTGTTGATGAAACCTCAAAAGAAAACATTAACTGAGCATTAGACATGTCAGTGGGTTGAGTGTGGTAGTATTTAGTGATGGGACTGTCCACTGATATGTTTGCAGGTCTTGTATACATTCAGCTTTTCCCATAGCTGTTACTATCTTCCAGATTTCCTGTTAACCTCTTAGTCCTCAGAGTAATTGTGACCTATAGTTGATAACTGATTTATTTACACTGATGTTATATATATTACATCATGTTATTTTATAACATGATGTAATGGTAATGAAACTAAAGTCCTTCAATGGATGGCTTGTTCAGCTTCAAATCTTGTAATTATTATCAATTATTTGTTGTCAAGTGACATCTCTATTTCCTGGACAGCCACCCACAAACTAATAATACAAAGGGAAAAGACTCAAATGTGGATTGTCATATTTACTTTTTAAAGTTTAAAACACCTAGCTAAAGCAAAATACAGACTTTAGCTTGCTTACTGCCTTGCTTCCTTAGGTTTCCCCCCGCAAAGTATGCATTGCATGATGGGATGCTTAACATGATGCTCACTTAGGACAAATTTGGAGTACACTGTTTAAAGCTGCGCGTGGAAATGAGGGAAGGAGTATTTGGACAAGTGCTTTCTCAACTTGAAACTATTCACATTACGGCATGTCTGTCGGTGTAAAACTAAATATGATGTTTGTAAAAGTCTTCAAGCTCACTCTCATTGCTCTGGTGTGTGTTTTACAGTCTCATTTCATCAGACCTTTCCCGCATGACAGACAATGACCGTGACCAGATCGACCAGGATGCTCAGATCTTTATGAGAACCTGCTCTGAAGCCATCAAGCAGCTACGCAATGAAGGTGTGTCTTTTATTTCTGTGCAGCAAATCAACTTAAATGGAAATTTAAACATAACATATCTGGAAATGCTGATATGGTCTTGTTCATACTGCATGCTTTCCAAGTCAGGAAGTCTTGACTGTAAATGTATCCGGTTGTTCAGTCTGACGTCACTAGCCGTGTCTGGGCCTAAACTCCGCTGCAGGTCCATATATCAAAC